TCAGGTGAACCAATACGAAATAGCGAACTAGACAACTGTGAACATAGTATAGAGGGGAAAAGGAGCAAAGCACTCTCCGACAAGTTGGAATAATCGTATTGAAAAATTATACAATAATGGATCCAAGATATTTTTCGCCTGTAAGTCTTACATGAAACGGTTGTCATGGTCGTTTCTTCCGTATCTGTCTAGACCGTTCGATACTCAATTGAATCGTTTTCGTATTTTTTTTTCGTTTTTCACATCCACTACGTGAGTGTGAGTATATGACAATGTACGTATCGTGTTGTGCAGTGTGATGAAATTCCAGCCACGAATTTCGATCAATTACCAAGCGTTTTCGCGTCGCCATTCGCGAGTGCACATATATACCTATTTAATAGTGTCGTGCAGTGGCGAAACTAGTCTTAATTACATCCAACCCGACGACACGTGCCACCCATTTCCCGAGAATTACGCGCCAAGGTAGGATACACTAAGAAGTATAGGAATATTATTCACAGGTGTCTTGTAGGAATAGACAGTTTCATACGCCTCTACAAGATCGTTATTTAGGAATTTATTGCGGGTGTACACATTATAATATATGTATAGTCTGTCTCGCGAGAAAACGGGACCGGCGGCCGACCAAAATTCGTTCGCCGCCGCGCATCCCGCACCAACTTTTCGTTGTAAGCGTGATCACGTGGTTATCCACTCACCAATCGAATCAGTCTACATGCGCGAAACGGTCCCGTTCTTTCGTGAGATAGACTATACATATCGTTGATGATTTGGCAATACCTCGTATCTGACAATTTTTCGATTTTGACATTTTGGTATCATTCAATTCAGAATTTCGAGGAGAATAAAAAACTATTTGAAATATAATGCGGTTACTGATATCCCAAGAAATAACTTGTACCTGGTTATAAAGTTAGGATCCTTATCTGTTTATGAGCCTCCTGAACAATTACTGAAATGTCAGATATAATTAAGGTATTGCCAAATCATCAACGATATATAACCTTTATGGGTAGGAACTAGGTACATAATATTATTATATGTTCGGAAAATCTGGAGAGAACCTTGTTAAAATTATCACGTAACGCGTTCGTTAGAATACGATGTTTTGTGTAACACTATATTATAGAAATAAGTAGACATAAAATATTATCGTGGATTATCGTCGGTTCGTTAATAAGCCACAGGGCAGCGACACATATTATACTGTAATACTGTAATGTGCCAATCAGACGTTACACAATACACAAGGTGTATCATTTGGTTCGCAACGCAGCCGATCGGATTGTGGTCGGGACTTCGACTAACATCAAAGGATGTAAGGGTTATTGCGCAAGTGTGTCCGTTACAAAAGCATGCACCCCAAACTTCCCAAAACACACTACATCAAAAAAAAATTACTTGTACTTCCCTAAACTATATAATATAATATGTGTGAAAAAGTACATATATTCTGGTACCTATTTGTACCACTATATAGACATACACATACTACCCCAGACCCCTACCATATAGCTATACCTTATAGAGTAAAGGCTATATAGTATCGTGTATAAATACATATAACATATTGTTAATTATTATAAGCTAATTACAAAACAGGATATACAGTTCAGGATTGTAGGTAGCAAGAAGTCCAATTAAAATTTCCCGAAATAGTATAATAGGTTTAGGAATTAGGACATTGATGTATTATAAACTCAAATAAGTAATAACTAATAACATATTATCCACTGATTGTATGGTTCGAAATATTATAATTTTTGTGCTCTCGAGTTTCTATTACACAATGAGGGCAATGCAAGGTAATAATATTTGGTCCAAAGTCTAAACAGGACACTGAAATTGTTCCAAATAGGTTAAGTTATTTTTTTAATTGGCTCAAACGGTCCGGCGAGGCAGAAAGAAGGATTGCAACCAGAAGATATGTGACCTGATGACCTTGCTCAAATTGATAGTATGACACTAGACCTAATACTTAAAAATTACTAATAATGTATATGTCCGATCAGATATAGAAGAAAAAAATAGTTATACACTTGAATAATTAAAACGTCGTACAGTGACTCACTTGTAACCTACTGTACAGCAGAGCGACTTTTTTTATAATTATTTTAAGTTAGAATTTGGATGAAATTACATATTCAATAATATTAGTTATATTTTTGTAATTTTATAATATTAATTCAACTTACTGGCTACCGTATTAATAATAAGTAATAACAATATAAATATCATATAAAATATCCTAGATTGACAAACCGTATCTGCTCAGAGTTGTCGCGTTTATACTCCGGCGTTTTAAATAAGTGTATACAATGGTATTATATAATCATTGAATTCAAATTTAATACAATCCATTACAGTGACCCACTAAGTAATACCTACTATACAGCACAGCAATATCCAATTACCTATCCAACTTTTTTAAATTATGATTCTTAATAATTATACCATGAGGTATAAATACTAGTATTGAGGGGCGCATAGCCGCATAGATTTTGCAGCTCCCATAAATTTAAAACTTAATTTGCATTTTGTGCCCATACACACAATTTTACATACAGTATAAAGGACACAATGTAGTTAATATTATCTAAATCGTGAGTAGAGACTATAATATACTTTATACCATAATATTATAAGCCATAAAGTAATTAAATGGAAGAAGGATTGATAATAAATCAATAGGTAATAAACCCTAGTCTGGGACTTTTATTTCTTAAAAGAATGTCGCACCCGCATGTGGTGTCACTTATCTATTGTCTCATTGTCTCCGTCTAACTAATGCATAACATTCCAAAATATACGTTCAGCAGTTCAAACGTTGTGTAGTTAACTTAAATATTATAGTGAAATTACTTTAAAGTAAGAATATTATCAGTGTTCTCTCGTATCTCGAGAAATATTATGTATTATCTATGTTTTTTTACAATATTTTAATTTTTAAGTGAATTATGTACATTTTTAAATACCGTATACATATTTTAAATAGTACAAACTCATAACTCGCATACAAATAAGTACCTATCTTAACAAATTCAACAAGAGAAATTAGATAATGTACTTATACATTTAAATTTGATAATAAGCCAATACTCAATTCACGTATTTACATAATTACATATTTGTCGTACCATGCTATACTTTGTCACAGTCTTATTTTTAAACTGGATATCTTAAAATGCTCATAACTTGCTTCATAATTAAAATACTGACGATATAGTTCACAATGAAGATTTTTAAACTAACCTAGCTAACTAGCTGTTTTGAATATGTAATTTTCATAGTGTGCATTTGATTAGAGTAGGTATAAGTGTATAACACCCTGAAAGTGTTTGACCTTTGACAGTGCGTATCTTAAAAGAGTTTGGAAGTCTATAAGATACAATAACATTTTAATATTTTATATATATCATACCTATTCTTCTTTACGTTTAAACACTCGCCCCTTTTAATCTGCTTATTTTTAGTTGTCGCTCTAGGTACATATTTATACCGGGTCGAAACTTTAGAATGTTAATCATTTTAGTTCTAGTTTGTAGAACTCCCAAACTTTTAAACTCAAAATATTTCTCATTATATTTATGGATTTTAAAAGTTACTCCATCGTGTGTGCAGGCGATTAAAAAGTTGACAGTTATGCAATTTTTGTTAAAATGTGGTTATCAAATATCTTGATATTCACGAGAGAGAATAAAATAAGTCGAAATGGATCTTTGTTTCTTACAAACTATAAAATAATAATGTAATGTAATACTTTATTTCTTATTTAGGTGCTTATGTTACACATTACATGACTCATTAAGCTTGACACTCGTATACTTTCTATTTAATGAAAACACTTCAGTATAGACTTGCAGATAGATTTTTCTGACCATGTCATTTTACATTATTTTCAAATATAAACGAATGTAAATATAATGCAATAT